CAAAATGTATAACGACATCCTATTAGATGACTATTAATTTAACTTTTGATGTACTGCAGAAGTAGTCCGATTTTTTCCTAAAATACAGACAAAGCTTTTTTACAGAAACGGTTACTGATCCTAACAAATAGTTTTACGTGATAGGGTGATATTATTTTGTTTAGCAATACGAAGTTTGCAACTTTAAGTCATAACTCGTAATCAAAACTTTAAAAGCTTATCTACTCAATTTTTTTAAGTAAATATTTTTTAATGTTGTGTATTCTTGCGCACTTTTTACGTGCTCAAATATTTTTAGAATTTTGAATAGCTAAATTTTGATTAGGTTTTTGGCATATGTGGAATTGATTTTTATTGGTTAATACGCCTATTTACATTCTGGTGATCGCTATTTAGGCATAATTTTTCCTGTTATTAACCTTATTGTTAAGACCTATGTCTACTCCACATACAGAAGTGAACTCTGGACAAACAGAATTAGCACCCGTTAGTACAGTTGGGACTGATATGTCAAGTAACACATTATCGATTGGTGTCCCTCTTCACACTCTTGGTCCCATTGAAGGGCAAGATGGACTCAGTTTGACTAGACAAGAAATAAATCGACTCATCTTGGAGTATTTAGTCGTTGAAGGTTACAAAGATGTTGCTGAAAAATTTAGTCGTGAGACGGGAATTGTAGAGCCTTTAAATGAGTTGCAAGTTGCAGGTGCAAGTTTGAATGATCGTATGTGGATTCGTGAAGCAGTTTTGTTAAGGAAAATCGAAGACGTTATTGATACAGTGAATCGATTATGGCCTGAACTCTTTGATAAAAACCCTTTTATCTACTTTCAGGTAAGATATACTACCTATCTCATGTCAATCCTTTGAATATAATATTTGACACGCGTTACCTGTGTAAAATCTCAATACTATCCATACAAGTTTATAATTGATGGATCATCCATATGCTATGCTAGACTAATCACTAGCTGGAACTGTAGAAGCTCCCCAGTGTTTCTTGCTTTTTAGTGGTGCGCCAACTAGGGTCAGTCTGTGATGAATAGCACCTATAAACTAAAGAAATCCAAAACTCCATAAAAAAGTAGTGGACTGGTTAAATATACCTCAGCTCAAAGTAACAACTGAACAACATCGACGCTTTGAGTATAGAAAATAACCGAAGTAGAAAACTATTGAAATAAAAGGAAACCAAGTAAACATTGAGATTCAGTAGTGCTGTTGAGATCGGTTTCTCTAATAATCTTTGCACATATATCAGTCCAAGCAGCGCGAAAGTGGATGGTTTAAAATATCATTAAAGGCAAACACGTTCGAAGGAATAAAAATGCTGGATAATAATACTTCGAAAATATCAGGAAAGATTCGAAATAAGTTCGTTTGCACATTTTTATAATTTCTCTTCTTACGGTTATGACCCAGCTATTCCTATTGCTTAGTATTCTCGGACACCGATTCACTCGACAAGTCCCCAAATCAGAACACGGTTGAACATCTACGTACAATCATGATCTATGTCGCCTAAAGTAAGCAATCATTATTCACTACGATTTCGCCTGCCATGTCGTAAAGGTCCACATTTTTCTCCAGAATATGTTGATAATTAATTTCATAAGCTTATATCATGTATTTCTCTGATTGCCCTTGAGGACTTGTAAGCTTATTCCAGAACAGTGCATAAATGTGACCAACGACTGAGAATGCATGACACATTCAGTCATCTCAGTTGATCAAAGTGCCAGGAAGCTCTAGGTACAAATCTTACTGTTTGAACTACTGTCAATAGAACTAAGCGTAGGTACTATAATCTTTCTGTGTTCTTACAATTCCGAAATCGTAATAGATAGAGCGTAATGCAGAACGGAGTTGTTACTAAACTCCATGAAAGACCTTTGTCACAATAAACTGTATTTTCACATGCTTTAATTTATATATTTCATCATCATTTTAATATAATTGGACTCTTAAAGCCGAATATACTTATCGGTACGTTGTTTCTAAAAGCCTATAACAGGTCAGTGTAATGATTATCTGACAGATTACTCATTGTCATAATGATTAATCGAATGGCCACTGTCAATATCAAACAATTTCTCACAGTTCCATGAGGTAGGGACAACAAATGTTGTAAGCTGAAGCATATTTGCTTTATTTTGTATCCTCCGAATTTTCACACACACACTAATTTAATAGGTATGATGTAATTTATTATTGATAATTTACATATTTACATCACAAAATAGTAGTGTCATGTTCTGTATCTTGACTGGTTTCCTTGGCCGAATTCTATCCATTATCATATCACAGAAGGAGGAGTGAAATATATTGTAAAGTACTTATAAGATAACCTTAATTCAATTTCACAGTCTTTAATTCATATGACAGCGAAAGCTAAAGAAAGCTTATTTATTTCTGAAGTTTAGACCGTAGATTAACTAAATTTCCCACTCTTTATCTCTAAATAATGTCTAAAAATTCTTGTTTTTACGACTAGCTTCGGCAGCTGCAAATGCTAGAACTTATTCGGAACAAGCGTTTAGAAGAAGCCCTTATATTTGCCCAGTCGTATTTAGCGGATCCAGTAGCCAAACGGTTATCAGAACATCCTCAATTATTGAATGAAATGCAAAATACTATGGCACTATTAGCTTTTGATAATCCCGCTGAAAGTATTTATGGCAAGCTGCTTAGTCCTCAACACGCTGAAGTGGTTGCAGGAGCACTAAATCGAGCTATACTTCGACATATCGAATCATCAGGAGATGAAATCGATACATCAGAAGAGGGTAAAGGCTCTGTGACTGCGAACTCTATGGGTTATTCCGGTGTCTCATCCACTGTACCACGATTGACAAAAATGATGGCGCTGTTACTACATTTCCGTGATTTATCACAGCTTGAACTTCCACCAGAATTAGCCTCATTATAGATCAGTTGTTGAAAAGTGGAATAAACTCTTTATTATTCTCATCTTTTATGTTTCATAACTTCAACTGATTATTTTTAGTTAAAGGCAGCATGATGGTTGGTTTCATGACATTTTGACTAATACACATGTACAAATTATATAAAAAGCAAGATTGTGTATTAATAATTTTAGCCAAAAATTTCAGGTAGTTCACCCATTTTGGGAGTCTTGTTTTACACCTATGTGACTTTTCAATCAGTATACAGCATTAAAGAGCTTAGTTAATCCTCATACACATGAAAAATGTTTTCCTTACCCGTGTTTCCTTCAGAAATAAATCGTTTGAAATATGTCTTTTATTACTAGTTATAAATAAGCGGGATTCGTGGATTTCTAAACATAGCAAAGGAACGTTATGAACATTAGCATACTTGTGGTGACCTCAATCATAAGATATGATGATCCTATAATTATTTACCTAATATTTTAATTACGCAATTTTGGAAAGAATAGAGCGCAAAACCTGAGAATAAATCACTATTGTAATGCTATCCATAACAAACAAAGGTTTTCTAAATGATAATATATCGGTAAATATGAAGAAACAAAGTTGTACAAGATATCGATATATCTGCAATAATAACTGGATTGTTACATCCAACTGTGTTAGCGAATCATGAGATGTACATTGGAAATCAATGACTTAGATGTTACACTCTGTTTCTTCAATCTGAATTTCTCACATCACTATTTGAAAATATGTTGTGTTAACTTATTCATTTCATAACTAAGTCTGACATTGCGGCCATATTCAATACACATACAAGTTAATTAAACGAAGTGTACACTTATTCGGTTTTCTATTAAATGTATTGTATGAATTTTCCAAGAGGTATCTCCTATCATCAACTGTTGTCTTCAGTAGTGTGAGCGCACTTACGAAACACTTTCCCACGTAGATAGGTTGCTCGCTCTGAATCATTTATTTTTTTAAGATATAGGTCACCTCACCATCAATACAGAGATTTAGTTTGTATTGCTAGTTTAAAAATATAAAGTACTAAGTTTTCAACAGTCACATTTCATATGTTCACTTCTCTGAAATAGTAATTTAATTCTTGCAGCCCTACACTTGTATGGTGTTACTGGTAAAACAAGTAATCTATCAGGGACCAATTGTATATCAGTAAGCTATACTTAAGAATATATTTATTACTAACAAATTGAATTTCACCTCTTGAATGATAGTACCACGTTTACCAAGATATAAAACTAGCTGATAGATCTAAATATTTAAACCAGAAATAATCTAAAATCGTATTGGTATTTATTTACTGAACTATGATAGTTCATTTGAACTTTTATCATACTAAGAAATTTATACTGATCTTTCAGTATCCTAGTTATGAATATTATTGTTTTACTGGAATTATAATGACTATCAACTTTAAATAACGCATCAAAAATTAACTATCTAATCGACTATGGATTCCTACTGACGGATATCTTACAAAACAAGTTTATTAATAATCCCAGTATGTTGACAGTGTCAAGTATGAGGCATGTAATTCTTAAACTTCGTGAAATAAGTGCTCGCTGCACTAGTAAAGTAATTTCTATAAATGATAAGACAACTTAAGCATTATTTCAGAGAGAAATGAGATGAAAACGAAATACAGAAACGTGTAAACGGCGTTACACTGCGAACACAATCTGCATTGCATTTTACTTTTTAAATATGTTAGCTAGGTATTTTTAACTTTTTTCACGCAGATAGAAGCATCATTACTGACGTTTACAGGCAAAGTAACCTGTCCATGAGATTGTTTTCCAGAGAGGAAGTAGAAGAATCTGATTGATCACCATCTTACAGACACTGCACACTGATATGATAGTACATTAACTGGTGTAAGGTATTAGTGTTTTGTCAAAACAAAGAATGTGAGTTTAAAAGTCCACTCACATTGCAATCATAAGGATCTTTGATAGACTTGAGTTTTTTGCATTTAAATTTACAAAATACTTGTCTTAAGTAACATTTCAACCCAGATATATTTTTTAAAGAAAAAAGGAAACACGAATATTTTTAAATCAAATATTCTTTTGATACATCAAAATGCATAAAAACAATAAGTAACTTTACAAATAACCGATAAAAACGTCCAATTAATCTCGCTTTACAGAAAGTTTCATTAGTTTTGGTTGAAATGTGTTTGAGTTGAACGTACTTGTTGGAGCTTTTCTATAAGAAATGAAAAAATGATATTGTGGAATTAACTGACATACGTACATGAATTGATTAAAGTTAGAGAAGTACTGGATGTCGGCTTAGTAATCTAAACGTTAAGCGCTTGCTAAGAAACTTAAAGCTCCTGTGTGCGCAAATTTGAGGAGTCCTATACTACAAAGAAATATCTGACCAGTATTTTCCGGTTTCAATGGTTGATTAACTAAGATCAGTCCGTGATGCCAAGTACATAATAATAGCTACTACACACAGATCAGTACGATATTGTGAGCAAAGAGACTAATGTATTTCCTGGAACTAGCAATAAGAGGGAAAATGCTTTTATCCAACAACACTGAGTAGCAAGTTCATTAAATTCAAAAACATGCAACTAATGGACTACAAGGATAGGTTGAAAAAAGACTTGTTCATTACAATAATTGAAGCTTGTGCATTTATTTGATCAGGGACAAAATTAATGAAATTTATAACCACACGAAACGCTCCTTTATATATAGCAGCTCTTAAAATAATATCAGTTTCTAATGATAATTGTATTATACGTCAATAAATAATAAGCCCAAAGAATGTATGATGGTCACATGACTAAAATATAAAGGAGTAGAACAATTAGTTTGTCAAACTTGACGTTAAATTACTAGAACACTTATAGTAACATGAGATAGTGAATGAAATTAGGTCGATTCGCATAACTACAACCGTTTGAATAGTGGTAGCTGGATAGGACGCAAAAATTAGTAAAAATAGAGTTGTTATTTATTTCTTCACAATGTATAGAAATAATTTCAGGTGAAAATAATAGTCAAGTCATGTTTTGAGAATAAAGTTTTTACCGCTTCCAGCCTGCTGAGCTACTGGATGACGCTGACGAACTAGGATTGGATTTGAATTGATATTTACCAAAAAGATAACTTCGTTTACGTTCCCCTCCACCACTTGGCGTTATCTAAAATATTCGATTAATAAGGTGTCATTTATGATTTTGATGTATAACCAACATAAAAAGTACTGAGGCTCAAGACTGAATGGAAAAAAGGCTTATAAACATTGATACCAATAACCAAATACTAAAAAGGTTCATGTTAAAATTATCCTGGAATCAATGCGAATTGAAAAGAATGAGTAAGATGACAAATAAACAAGCGCCTTATTGGTACAACACAGTTAAATCCAAGACCAATAAACGAAGGAAAAATATTTAGAGAGCTTACATGTGAGAGGCGATAACCAGATGAATGTATGCGACCTAAATAAGTTTTTCGTACGTCAGTCATCTGATGTAATGTATCCTATATCCTCAGGTTTGAAGAATAATTGTTTTCCAATTTTCACTGAAACTGATGTCCGAAAATGTCTCCAGTCACCTACCTCGTTCCTACGCTTAAGACCTGACGAAATCCCAAACCTTTTTTTAAGAAGTGTGCTGACATTCTTTGTTAATGTTTGACAAGCATCTTTCACAAATCCTTTCCAACTAATCTCATATTGAAAATGTGGAGAAAGAGAAAAATAATTCCAATACCTAAGAAAGTATCTGATGATAAAAATGTTGAATTTAAACACAGCAATAACTTCACCTTGTGTCAGAATTGTAGAAAAAATATTGCTACTCCGACTTCAATGTACACAAAAAGAGTATAATAATTCATATCAGTTTGCTTACAAATGCAAAAGAAGCACCTTAGATGATGCTGTTCATCTGAATCATAATATAGTGTACAGCATTTCTAGATTACACTTCTGGCTTTGAATCTATTCTAAGACAACCACTAATTAACAAGTTTATCAGCGTCAACATCGTCAGCTGGATAACCAACTGTCTGTGTTCTTACTTCTCTGAAAGAAAACAGTATACTGTGTTTAAACGAAAGTTCTCAATGTCTCTACTGAGTGATAAAGGTGTGCCACAAGGGACTGTTCCTTTCCTTCTTTTTTTCTGCATGACCTGCCATCTTCGACAGGAAACACTTGTTAAATATGCGTACGATCTACTGTATGCACGCCGATTTCTACCTACTCATATCCCCCTGAAATGGATGCGTTCTCGTCTCTTATTGAACGATGGGTTCACACATAATCCTCCAAAATTTCAAATTGTTAACCATAGCCTGAGACATAAACAGCATTTAAACATACTGTTGGGATCCCACAAATCATGTATTATTGGCGATTCTTTAATAAAGTGTTAAAAGTCATTTATCTTGGTGTGTTTTTACTCTGATCTCTATTGGCCTTGTCGTGTTTTATTGTTATAGAAGGTAGCATGCTATCGGCATTACTAGACATTTACTTTTACGATTTGCTAATTCTTGCATATTACTTATTATTCATTACTGTTCTCCATGATTCTTCCCTGGATTTTTGAGAAGACTCTGCCATATTGCGGAGAGTGCAGAAGGTAGTTAGTAAGGTGTGTGGTGGATATTTTAAGGTCATTATTAATATGACTACGGATAGGCATCTAAAATCTTGCAAACTCCCGTTAGGTGTTATCAGATACTAACCATCCACTTTATTTATGTCTTGTTGTTGATCTTCTGGTAGAAAGAGACGTCGATACATTAAAATCCATGCACACGAGCAAAGGTATAAAAGCTCTACAACACTTTATCTAGCAAATGTAGTATGTGACGAACAGATTGTTAAAGGTCAGTAACCTGAATTTTAATCAATTAAAATTTGTACAGATTGTAATCTTATTAAAAAGCATTTAATTTAATTTCGGGTAGTTTATGTAAAAGAAACTTGTGGAAATATCGTGTTTATAATTTTATATTGTACTAAACGTATAATATTGAATAAGGCCATTAATAATAATAACAGTGGGTGGATACATTTTTTAATCAATACAAAATAACAAACAAATAAAGTTTACAAACCTTTTTTGTACTGTAAGCCCTTGTACGACCACGTTTAGCGAAATTACTACGTCCTCGACCGCGACTAGAACTGGTCAGTGGTAAAGATTGTTGAGGAGTGTTCATTTCCTCTTGTTCTTTTTCTTCAGCTTTTAAGGCTCAAAAATCAAAACAGTACGGAAGCTTTATTTTAAGCAAGACATACACGAACAAAGCACTGGATTAATCTTTCACAGAAAGAATAATTAATATGAAAGACGAAGATATCTCCTTAGAGTGATAATCTTCAAGTATAAAGAATAAGAATTAGTTTGGTGCTAACTTTTCTTTGTTATTCAATACCTTATCTAGTCTTCCAACATTCTAATTTAATTTTTTAAATTTTGTTAACGACGTAGTAACAGTTACTTATAGGCGAAAATTCTCCGATCGTACTATAAATGATCCTAAAACAAGGAATAATAATTGGTGTGACCCAAACAAACAAGTTATATCCACAGTTTTCAAAGTGTAGTAAGGTTATGAAACTAATAAACCAATCATATGGAATAAACATGATGGCAATATGCTTAACTACAATATAAAACAGTTACTTGCTATTGGAAAATAAAGGTTAATGTTAATCATTGGTATATAATTTCGATCTGTGACTTTCTTTATCACTAAGCAAACTATAGAGGATAAATATTTCTGTTACCTATATTTCATAATGCTCATCATCTGACACACGAAAGTGATAATCTGAATGAAATGAAAAAAATCACCCAAGAAATAAATTAAATAATGAGTCAATTAATTCAATTGTATCTTACCACCAAGAATTGAAAGATAATTTAAAGTAATTTCTAAAAACGATGATTCTGCATTGAAACAATTCAATTTGTAATCCGTACACTGGGGTATTTGAAGTAATTCTTCACGAGTAGCTGGTAAACTTGAAGCCATTTCTAATAGCATTTCATTTGGAAATACAGTAGCATAATTTGAAATCCCTTGAGCGGACGCTGTATAGTAAAAATAACAATAATAATAAAAACCAATTGAACAGTTGACAATAAAACAAGAATAAAATTCGATGTACGTAGTTTCAGTGAAAGAGTAGAAAATGTTTGTTCCCCCATAAAATATTACATACATATATGCAAGGTTAAACAAGGCATTCCAGTGGTAAGCCCTATAGTATATTACAAATGGAATATCATAACAAAGCCAATAAACACTACATTGTCAAAATCAAGTCCTAAAAAAACTAACTAGTTGTAATATCCTCTAAATAGAAAAGTATTATTAGGTAATGAATTGAATACTTGATAAAAAAAACCCTTCAGTTTAATCACAACTACTTCTCAAACTAATCAATAAAGCAAAGAAGTATACAAAAAACCCAGAAGTAACCCGTATTATTTACAGTCCATTTTTAACCTGGTGCATCCACCCGAGATATTACAATAACTCACATCTGTAGAGTGAGTTAGAGGACTACGAAGCCCTCAGACATTTAACGGGTGGTTCAAATAATTCGACTATTTAAAATGAGGTAGACTTGTAAAACATACTATCCATAGCCTACTCACCGAAAATCGACTAAATGAACCGAGAGGTAGCGAATAAACAAACTGGATTTTAATTAAAAAAACAGGGCTGTTTTTTCATAAACACAACAACAAATGCTATAGATTGTTTCAACAAAGTAAAAATTAAGACATTCATTATAAAGCAAAAAGATGTTAATAGAACAAAATAAATCAATCTAATATCAATTACACAAATGCAAAGATAGAACAATGACTTACTAAGTTGTTTTGCTACTTGAACTAATTCCTCATAGCATTGATTACGAACATTGGCATAACGATCTTCCGGTGGGCGACCAACAACATTAGTTTCACTATGTCCTGATCGATTCGGTATAGAAACTGGTAAAGTAATCTATAAATAAAAATCAGGTAATGTGTTTGTTGATCCAAAAATGAGACAATAAATAATCACAATAATCAATAAATACTCAGTCCGTCAACTCACAAATACTAAATTTTCTTTAGTTGAATTGAGTTGTAAACTGAATTCAAAACGTTAAAAGTATCTATATGAGGGTTTTTTCTAAATATTTTGTAAACACTGATCCCTAAACAGCTAATGCACCAACTCAGCTGGTTGGTTTTGTGAAGGTCTAATCTAATGAAAATTAATTAATGTACTAATTATTATTACTACCTGGTAAACAACTGAAAACAAGGGAGCACAAAAATGATTGTTCAGTCCAGGTTTTTATTTTAAAAATGCACATTACTTAGCCAAAATGTAAACCACTGAATTTTGATGCAATGTTAAAATGGCAGTCCGCTCATCACGGGAGGTACTAGTTCGATAGGTAAATGAAGTTGAGGATGCATGCTTCCAAAAAAAGTTCGTAAAATGAATGTAGAAATTGTTCCCTAATCCCTGGTTTCCAACTTTCCTTTAATTGAGGTCAATTCTAGATTTTAAAGGAATAGTCCATTACTTCTTATAATAATCTCGAAGTTTATATCAATCAATAATACTGAAAACAACTCACTTTAATAGAACCATTTAGTAATCCTGTTGATTTTGATCCAAGACGAACGTAGGCAACAACATGATCTAGTTGCGTAACTGCCAACTCTTCATACAAGATACGTTCGGAAATAAGGCGATGGAATAGTCTCTCAGCATCTGTTTTTGAATAAGCAGAACCTTGTCCATAGATTTGATTTGATTCATCACCACTTTTTTGAATTTGACTGGTTTTTGCTCCTGATCAAAAAAGAAAAGATTAATGACATGTTTCAGATTGACATAGGAAGATGTGTACTCTTTATTATAATTTTATTGGTCTCTCACTTCACACAATAGTAATGTTACTAAAAAGTTGAGATGATTATAAGAATAAAACAAATTGCTTAGTTGATGTTCACAGCACTCTTTATTATGATAGCGAAGATTTTTATCGTTGAATTAACTTCAAGTCACACAATGTAACTTAAAACGTAAGGACTATTTCTTTTAATTTAAAAATAAGTTTTCCCATTTATCCTGATTGTTATTATCTTATTTGTATTCTATTTTCTCATTAACACAAAAAAAAATTAATAATCATCATTTCAGAAAACAACAATTTAACTGGTCTTGTTGCAAAAGCGAAAAATAAGTACTTCTCTCTCTAACATACTGAACGCATAAATATTAGACAGTTCAGTTAAAGCCATAATACTCTGATTTTGACCACACTGGATAAATCAGATGACACAAATTCTACAGACTTAATGTATCAGTATGTAATAATATCAAACAAATAATGTAACATACAAGAATTATCGCGTTTTATAATATGATCTACCTCGAAAAATATCCACAAGATAATTCACTGTCACATTGCGTCGTGATCGTACAAGCAATTCAACTGTATGAACTATTTTAATAGCATCTTCTGTTACATCTCTGTGTTCTAGACGTCTTCGATCAGACAACTGACAATTATCACACAAACAACCAACTATAGTTCCACAAGTAGCTGAATCGAATGCTTCACCAAAATGTGATAGCATTTGTTTACGACGACAGTCAATTTGATTTTCACAATAAGAAACCATACGATAAAGTGCATCTTCGTGAAACTGATGAGTTCCTCTAGCTACTGAAGAAGATCCATCGCCTGGATTATTAAGAAACATTTGAATACAGTAAGTAGTGTTTACAAAACTATTAGTTAACCAGTATGAAAGCTAGGGAATGATAAACACTACCTAAAAAACAACGGTACTAGTTGAACAATGTAGGATTTTATTATGATCAGTAAGTGATCGTAGAATAACTGATAGGTGACTAGCAATGAAGTCGAAATAATACATTTTGTGTAAAGAAATCAAAATAATGAAATCACAAGGCTGAATTTCACATTCTTATCATTTCGTTTCAATAGAAATTATCTACGATTGTTAAATAGCTATCAGATAGGAAGTAACCGTCAATGTCAGACTATAGTAAAAGTAATTACTTTACAAATATTAAATTCCCCACAAAGCTTAGCAAGGAACAGTATATTACTGCTAAAGTAATCAACCAATTAATCAGAACTATATTTTACGTTAAACAAAAAAATAATGTAACGCAATAACCAAATGCGATTTTACGTACAATCAGCTACATATAACGAGTATGGCTGCAATATGCTGGTAACAAATTTACAAGACAAGACAAATGCATATATATATTTAATTGGTCTTAGTTGGCATATGTGAATTCTGTGCGAAATATCTCAATATAACCATTAAGACACAAGTTGGTTCACGATAAATGGACTGAGGCCAGCAGTGGAATCCAGGACGCAGGTTTCGTCCTTATTTAGGATTCGTCAGCTGGATGTACTTTCATCCCAGAGTTGATGTTTGCTCCGGGACTAGAACCATATACATCAACTCTGGCATTTAGATACATCTACAATGAAGCGTGCATCCCTATTACACTGGGAAATACAGCCTGTCTATTTTGTACAAAGGTTTTCTGGTTAATGATTTAAAAATGTCTGCAATACATTTTAATTTAGTTTGCATTATAATCCAATATCAATTGAAGGATTAGTGAATATTGTGTAATACTTAATGGTTGTCTAGTACAATATTTTTTCGAATTTACAGTGGGATCACAATATTGAATTTCAGCTTATATGTTAAGCAAACTGGACTTATATATTGACGTGCAACAGTAACATATGTCAAACGTGGAATATTATTCATTCTTAACATGTAGTTGATAAACTTGCAAGACATGAACAAAAACATATAATTTTCAGTCAATAAGAAAATGGATAAACATTTGAGAAAAAAATGGTTTAAGGCATATTTTAGATTAAATAAAATTTGAAATTTTCTCAAGTACAACTTAACATAACCTTGTATTAGCTTCCGTAATCTGACAACATCATGCCAATGATAATAAAGAATGCATGTCGAGGGTAATCCATCTCTTCCTGAACGTCCAGCCTCTTGATAATAACCTTCAATTGATTTTGGTAAGGAATGGTGAATAACAAATCTAACATCTGGTTTATCTATCCCCATACCAAAAGCAATAGTTGCGCATACAATCTACAAATTTAAAATACGACTACCTAAAATTAACTTTTATGAATACAATGTAAATCAGAAGTTGATCATAGATTATTGTTAAGCGGTTCTTATTAATGCTAAAAATTGATCAAGATGAATCTGACATCAACATTGGATTCATTAATGCATTTAGATTATTTGCATTTATACCTCTGGAATTGTTGAAAACTTAAACAACTAAACGACATGACAGTGTAACTTAACAATATTAATGTATCTAATATGACAATGAGTATTTGCAAAACCAGCCTACTTTGTGTCGTTACATCGTTGTTGTTGGTCCTTTTTTATATATTGAAAGTAAGACATGTGTATTGTATCGTAAGAATGTTAAGATAACAACGATTAACATGGGTAACTATTATAAAAATCAACATACTGGTATCCTAAGCAAGATGATATGTAACGTAATTTTAAATTATAGCAGGGGTAAATGATCAGTAGTTTTGAGATTTTTAAGCCCGCTGAATCTGTGGACAGAAGTTCGTGATAGTGGAAAAAGATGGTTAATCCCTCTCACTCTGATTAAATTACTTGTGTAAAATAGCTTTTAGATATTGCTAAACCTCTCAGGTACATCTATCTTAATCAGCCAATCTCAGAGAATAGTCTCATCGCATCGAAGGCGACTCTGATATCAAGAAACACAATCATTGGGGGATTGAAATAAGTATTCTTACATTTGGTAGAAGGTGAAAATGTGGTCAAAACCAGACATCTTCCAGAGGGTAAGTGTTGAGTCGGCTTTCGGAGAACTTCAAAGGAGCCTCCAGAGGCCCAAAAGGAGCCGAAGAGTCCTAGCCAATCAGAGCACGATGCAGCATTTTAGAATTCCAACGTGGCGTGCTACTATTGGTCAGTAGCATAAGATGTCGCTAACGGATTGGCCGGAAAATGATGTTGATTTAACAAAAGCTAACATCTATAAATACCCATGATTTTCTGTACAAAAACGAACCTTGGAGTAAAGTATTTCTGTCATACTTGTGACTTCTCTCTGGTGTTCAGGTCACTGTATAGTTCTAGCTTGCGGGTTACCAGAATAGCTTAGGAAACGAATATAGCGTTCAATCAACAAGACTTATCAGTCAGTCTTTTACAGGTTTTGTACAATCTCCAGATTAAAGTGAAAGCCAATATTTCGAACCCAATATACATGAGTTAATTTATGAATGATGTAGTCGTTTTTTAAATGAGACGACGGTCGTTTTATTCTAGGATGTTGGAGCAGTTTTTATTTGACAATTCTTCCCAAACAACTCAATCAGTTCCCTAGCAAGAAGTCCACTATCGTCCTTAAGAGTAGAGGTCAAATCCTCCGGATTACGTAGTTTGAGCTCAGCGAAGAGATAATGGTGGTCGTCTGCTGCAACTGTAGTCAGACAAACGTTTGGTTTTAGCAAACATAAGGAGAGACATCGTCTAACATGGCGACCCCCTACACCAAACCAATGATGGGTCAAAATAGACCATATTGCCATCAGTCATCGTTGGAAAGGCACGATAGAAGACTGTCGCTCTTTCCGGAGTACACGTTTAGATTCCGACTGTTCTAAAACGAGTACGCATTTGCTGGCACCCCATTGGATATAGAAAGGCCACATTAAGTAAATCCACTAGAATTGATTTCAGCGATGAGTAGGGCAAAAAGCAAATTCCAGAAACAACTGAAGTCACACTTAGGCAATTCCGACAACGAGGCTGAACCAGGTGTTGCTCGGAAAGATTTAGGGACAGCCGTGAAAACGACAGCGATATCTATTGGTGATTTGAACCAAAGGGTTACGATAAACCAGTGGATTTCCGCGACATCTATTGCACTGACAGACTCTCGTAAACTCATCCCATAAGGCTCTGAACATGATGAAGAGCGAAAACAAATCAGATCTAGGTTAATTAAAAGCCTACGGAACGATCTTGACTAGTGGTGGGCAACGAGAGCAAAAGAGATGGAAAAAATAACGGCTGTAGGTAACATAGGACAGCTTTTCGGACTAATAAAAGAAAACGGAATTTAGAAGTCCGGTGTAAGTGAGACTATCTCGGAAAAAGACGACACTCTCATCTGCTCCCACCTAGTCCAGACGTTTAGAACGATGGTCGGAGCACTATAGAGAACAGTTTAGCTGGCCTTCAGCTACTCTACAATTACCCACCATTCCCAGATAGCCTGAATGGAACATTGAAGTAGGTACCCCGACTCTACCTGAAGTTCAAAAGGCTACAGCTAATCTGAAACGCGCAAGAGCAGTGAGTCTAAATGGATTGGTTCCATAGGTCTCAAGAGAGGGTGGTCCAGTTTTAGCGACTAGGCTGACTAATATTTCAGCTAAAATCTGAGGACTAGATGTGATCCCATCAGACTGGTCGCAACCACTGTTTGTCCCAAAACATAAGAAGGGATCAAGGTCATCATGTGATAACCATGGAGGGATTAGTTTGACTAATATAGCGTCTGAAATACTGGCCTCAATAATTATCGGGTGTCTAACAAAGACTCATGAACTAAATATATGAGGAAATTAGGCTGTCTTCGTATTTGATCGTGGCTGAACTGATTACATGTCAGAGCTGAAAACACAGGTTTGCTTACCAGAGTCTGAAAAAGATGGTTTTTCTGGACTTGAAAGCAGCATCTGACTCTGTAGACCGAGAGGTTCTGTGTCAGTGTCTGTCATTGAGAGGCGTATCTCAGAAGTACATAAAACATGTGAAAGTTCTTTACTCGAACACTACCAGTCAACTCAGATCTTATGGAAAATTTAAACCCGATTTTGTAATTTCAAGTGGTGTCCGGTAAGGCTATCCATTATCTCCATTGTTGTTTAATTTCATCATAGATCTATTGCTGAAAAGAACGTTCTCGTCCACAGAATTTCAGGGAACCGATCTTCAACCAGGAGGTCCACTCGTTGACTTAGGACACGCAGATAACATAGTCCTGTTTGGTTCTGCGCGACTATCTTAACCAATGGTTGGAGACTGGGTGATATGGCTCAGAATCGATCACGATGGCGTAAGTGCAAATACTCTCCGTCTTCCCATAAACTATGATAATAAAATCGCTTTATATCTTTCTTTCTATCAACTAATTCTTTCTTCCTGTACTATATCCTTATATGCGATCCATTCGTTACATATTATCACCATTGAATTAACTACTTCTATGAAGTTGGTGTTCATCTTGTTGTGCTAATGAGGTATGGCAACTTGGACCGATGCATATATATGCCTGCTGCTACGTTGTAGCTCACTGACTAACTGATGTAGTTTGGGACGCCTTAAATATTAGAGTTCCTTACGGACCTCCGTTTCGTAAAAATGGATCGGTCAGAAAAGACAGGACAGTTTGATTGACGTTGCCGGGGAAATGGACTAACTGAACCGCTCCTCGAAAAACTCTGTCTGTTGTATCAGACGCCTTTGAATATTATTAATTTGGTGTCTTATTAACTTTATAAACCGTTTCAGTGGCATTAATCTTCTGGCTGCTAGTGGTTTGAATGAGTTGACACAACTTCAGGTAGTTACCAGATGTAGATGTTGCTTCCAAACCGTTGATGGACTCTGACCACAATGTTCATCGATCCTTAAACAAACCTTGTAGGGAGCCTGTAGAAACATAATGCTATTAAAAATAAGGTTTTGTGAATCCTTAAGAGACGTAAATAGACATCTACAAGGCGTTGAATCGGTCAGGCAGTAAACTTTGTCTGATGTCAAACATATTCTACTAGACACAGTGGCCGAGAACTTCACAAAACACGATTGACGGTCAAATATTTACATTTATCTTTTTTATTTATGAACTCAGAAATTCCTGATACTCTACAAGTTTTCGAGTTTGCGTTAATTCAGATCGCCTTCTAGTTTTGTTGGTTTCTCGTTTTTTTTAGGGAAAAAGCGATAAACTATTGTGTAAAAAGCTTGTACTCACAGCTTTCTGTTTAAAAAATAAATAGAGGAAAAGAGTCACAAGCATCTAAACAGAACTAAAAAGTAGTTTATTTTAGACAAACCTACACAGGGTTTGAAATTCTTTAGTTCGAAAGTGAATCAAGAATATATTAAGTGCATGTATTTTTAAATCTATTGTTTTCGGAAAAAAACTAGGTGGTATGACTTAAAAGAGTACTTGCCTTACATTTATCTTCTTGTATCCATGCCTGTTGAACATTTCGCCTCTGAGCATCTGTCATTCCAGCATGATAGGCGGAAGCTTGAAGTCCAGCGGCCTTCAGCTCCTCAGCTACGACATCGCATTCTCGACGTGATAGACAATAAACGATTCCTGATCGTTTAGGAAACTCGTTACGTATAACATCAATAATCTCTTTTGTACAATTTTTAAGCTTTTTTGGTCGAACCTCAAATCTTAAGTTCGCACGGTTGAAACTTTGAATAAACCTGTGTATTAAAAATAGCTAGGATAAAATATGTTTCAGTAAGTTGTAGAAAACTTAAAACTGTGCGTAAAAACGTTTTGTTCACGAAACATTTTCCAATTGAGACTGTGAACTTTCTTTACAAAATCTAGCTGCTCAGATAGCAGACAGAGGTGATTTTAAACGAAAATAGAATATGTAAATTATTGAGTTATAAATAGAGAAGGACAAGAGCAACGAGTATCTGAGCACAAGTTAAACTAAAACTTTATAAGTTCTTTTATACCAACTAGTTAGAAGTACTGTAACTGATGAACGCAAGCTTAAAGAGCCGACCCTCTTAAATTGATGAACTTAAGCACTTATAATCTAGTAGAATGCCCCCAAATGCCCTGGTACGACCGAGAGTGGGAAGACTCCGCACTCCCTCTCGAAATGCTCTCACATGGCCACGTGTATATAGCCTCTGCCAGGGAAGTCCTACTCACTGCCTTCTCGTGGTGGGGGTGTTGTTTACGAAAACGAGATGACGAAAAGCTAATGTCCGGCGCTTTAACTGGTTTCTAAACCAATGGTGCACATGGGTTCCAGTATCCTGAGGGAACAAATGGCCTATGAACCAATCGTTGGTCACCGGCTTCCATGGGACTGCATCTCCTTACGATGCTCCACTGCCTTGTGGATCAGACCTTTAGGTCAAAGGCTCGGGGTGTGGCTCCCTAAGAAAACCACCTGTTTCGGTCTGGACACCCGGGTAGTATCACAGCCCTCACATATGTCGAATGAGATTTGTGTGGCGCATATGTATTTGGTGCCTCCTTGTACCAATATCCATGCGTTAAAATAAATAATAAATAATAATAAAAAATAATCCAATAGAGTGCAAAACCAATTCAAGCAATTATACAGAGAGTAACAACCCGATATGACAAAAACATTAGTAATAGTTAAAAACAAGAAGTAATACGACAAGGTATATCAAGGTCCATAATAGTAAAATATTTAATATTCGAGAAAATAAAGATAAATAGTGAGTGAATCCAGATATTGGACGTGATATGAACTGTTACAAAGAAATGCACAAACCGTATTCACATAGAACGCTGATTGTACTTGACTAAGGTTAACAGTTAGTGAAAACAAGTGACGAGTTGTATTGGTCCCAAACTAATAGCTTACATTGTAGATGTGACGAAAACATTTACATCTGAAAGTAACTATCTTAAACTAAATAAAACTTCTTTTGTGAATTTAACAAGTTTAAGCACCGCTGCATCGATATCTGCTGAAAGATGGATCGGTTGACAGATGCTACATCGTCGAAACGAATGCTGATTGATTTGCAATGTTATGTTACATGAAAAAAAAACATATAAGTTCGTTTAGATTATCGGACTATAACCTGCTGGGTCATATTGTAGTGAACAGAACACGGGTGGGGACAATCGAATGTATCTAACACAAAATTACAGAACTTGTTAATAAGATCTAGCAATCATAAAGTAAATGCTTAATTTGCAAGATGTTCATCGATTGTCTCAAAATGACTCAGACTCCATCGTTCTTGCACTTTCATACAAATTGGATTTTGTTTCCATTCTTTACTGTTCAATCCTCTTGTCTCTCTGCTTCCAGACCTCCTGTCTACGACTAACATCATATACTACTTATTTCAATATAAGTAGCACACACCACAATATCACTGCTATCTTATGAAACAAGTGGAATAAATGAACTATAGAATTCCGTAGATTCCAACCCGATGTGAAAGCCTTGAACCAGTCACCGATCTGATTACCAACGATACGCGGGAGTTGCAAAATATTCAAATAAGTATCACTCCATGACTTTAACAGTAAGCAACATATGTTTAATGACACTGTTTCATAGAAAAACTTGCAATAGCATAGACCTTTACCAATTAATTTTCCTACCCAAAATTCTAAATAGTTATACATGATGAACAGTAAGACTCGGATTTCAAGTAATAATGGAAGTCTTGAGTTACGAGGACACAGACGGAGGTAACCGTATACAACATATGATAACAATACACCTACATTACTCATTTATTTTAACACATGGATATTGGTACAAGGAGGCACCAAATACATATGCGCCACACAAATCTCATTCGACATATGTGAGGGTTGTGATGCTGCCCGGGTGCCCAAACTGAAGCAGGTGGTTTTCTTAGGGGGCCACACCCCGAGCCTTCGACCTGAAGGTCTGATCCACAAGGCAGTGGGGCATCGTAAGGAGATGCAGTCCCATGGAAGCCGGTGACCAACGATTGGTTCATAGGCCATTTGTTCCCTCAGGATACTGGAACCCATGTGCACCATTGGTTTAGAAACCAGTTAAAGCGCCGGACATTAGCTTTTCGTCATCTCGTTTTCGTAAACAACACCCCCACCACGAGAAGGCAGTGAGTAGGACTTCCCTGGCAGAGGCTATATACACGTGGCCATGTGAGAGCATTTCGAGAGGGAGTGCGGAGTCTTCCCACTCTCGGCCGTACCAGGGCATTTGGGGGCCCTACATTACTCAATACGATTTTATTGACTATAATTTGTTGAACCGCTCATAGAGATGAAATTATGAACAAAAATAACTTACCACTTAGTATTTGTCATTTTCAGCTGAAGTAGAATATCTCTACGAACTTTTGGTGTAGCTGTAGCAGTCATGGCCATCATCGGTACGTCTGGGAAATTGATTCGTAGAATGCTTAGATTTCTATAATCCGGTCTAAAATCATGGCCCCACTATCAATAGTAAAAAATACAATCAGACAGCAAAAAATAAACAGATTGATTGATTCACAAAAAGAAAAGAAAACTGTGAGAAAAAACATGCGGATAGCTTTTACTTGCGTGCAATGCATTGTTATCAGGAGTTTTGTGGATCTCAACCACTGTATTGTTACTAAAAGACTCACCTGACTGACACAGTGGGCTTCATCGATCACAAAACGATCTAAACGTTTACGTTTGTACAGTTGTTCTAGGCATCCTTTCAGCTTATCAGAAGCAGCGATCTAGAAATTTATTACGAAAAATTTGAGAAGTTACTATTTAAGCAGTCTCATACCATAGGTTATGTGGTAAAGGTAATTATACCTGACGTTAACACAATAAAAAGAACTACACCATCAATAATAAAAAGTAATGGTGCTACTAAGACACAGACATAGCAGGAATTCTTTAGTAGAAATCGAAGATTTTCCGAAACACACTCATCAACACCTAAGATGTTGAAGAAATACCATTCGAAGTATTCCACTAAATGTTACTGATTTCTTTGGAGATTCTCTAGAGATATGCTACTTACCAAATAAATGACTTGAACCAAGTCAACCTTTTGGGTCCTGGAACAGTATATAGTAGCTACTGCTGGTAATTGAAACGGTTATTCCTACATTATTTCGTCTCCCTTTTGAGAGCAGCATGAAAACTTTAAAGAGACTTATAAACACTGCGAGTACTACAGATCAGGTTGAAACGAAAAACTTTATGAACTGTGAGGAACATACATTCAAGAAAATGCAGAGCAGAATATCAACATCCTTAATACTAAGACAATGTAGTTTATTTACGAAACAGCTTGGTATACTCGGTTTTGAGCAGAACGTCTGCATAAGGCTAATGATGCCACCCAACTTTCCTAAATAAAACGAGTGAGACAGGGTTCAGATATAAGACTTGAAGGTTGAAATCCGTGAGCCCTAACCAAAAAGCTGACGCTTAACACAGTGATTATACTTCTTTTTTACGTACCTAAAGGCTAATAACCACATTATTTTTCGGTTACTATATGATGATATGTATATTGTGTTAGACATAATTTAACAACAGTTAAAATATACTTCAATGTATTATAGCACAAACTTATATCAAGGAGTGTGTGATTTACGTAAAAAAGAACATACTTTCTCTGGTGTTACATACAAAAGTTTTAAGCGGAGATTGGCCATATGTAAAGCAGTGTATACTTGGTCACTTTCGGAGAGACTGGCCTCACCTGTCAGATGAGCCGCTGGAACCTAAAAATAAGCAAAGGTGAGTACACTTCTAATCCCAAGATAATTTTTAATAAATCGGTAGTATTGACAACAAAATTGTTATGAATGAAACTACAAGAAGAAAAGGCAAATTGATCGTAAACAAAGTCATCTCGATAAATAGTTAGGAGAGCTTATGTCTATAATACACGGCTACAGTTATCTACCACAATAAAACGAATTAGAAGTAATGGAATGTTCCCATTTAGTCACACAAGCCAAAAACTAAAAATGTTTTAAATCAAATTTAGCAATATATTATATTAGAAAGAGCAAGAACGAAGATTGATGCAGAATAATATGAATTCATATTATTTCGTTAGGTTCTCGTCAGCTGCTTACAACCTATAATATTTTAAAATCAATGTCACTATCTGTAATGCCCCCAAATGCCCTGGTACGACCGAGAGTGGGAAGACTCCGCACTCCCTCTCGAAATGCTCTCACATGGCCACGTGTATATAGCCTCTGCCAGGGAAGTCCTACTCACTGCCTTCTCGTGGTGGGGGTGTTGTTTACGAAAACGAGATGACGAAAAGCTAATGTCCGGCGCTTTAACTGGTTTCTAAACCAATGGTGCACATGGGTTCCAGTATCCTGAGGGAACAAATGGCCTATGAACCAATCGTTGGTCACCGGCTTCCATGGGACTGCATCTCCTTACGATGCCCCACTGCCTTGTGGATCAGACCTTCAGGTCGAAGGCTCGGGGTGTGGCCCCCTAAGAAAACCACCTGCTTCAGTTTGGGCACCCGGGCAGCATCACAACCCTCACATATGTCGAATGAGATTTGTGTGGCGCATATGTATTTGGTGCCTCCTTGTACCAATATCCATGTGGTAAAATAAAAATAAAAAAGGTTGTAGGCAGCTGTCGAGAACCTAACGAAATAATATGAATTCATATTATTCTGCATCAATCTTCGTTCTTGCTATCATCAGGATAATAAGGAGAACTAAGTGTATGCAATATATATTATAACCAAAATGATTAACCAGTTCTCAAAAAAATATCCCACAGTAAATCCGAGATACTAAGATAAAGATAAAACAAGACAACTTCGATCTGTAATATCATATAATTTTTAGTAGTTGCAAGCCACCTGATGAGAAGTTTAAAAACTGCACCTTAAAATTTCAAAAACTTGTAGTGTCAGTTATTATGGCAAGCCCATATACCTTTATTCTAACTTCCGGACATCCTATTTTATTCATTTTACTTGAACCATATTTTGACCTTGTCAATTATCCGCTTATTAGCCTTGACTGTTTTCACATGAGCGTATATGTGTGTGCACATCATATCCCATGACTCATTGTATGTCTGTAGTTTATTTTGTCTGCCTATAAATACTGAGTAACGCTTAATTAAAAGGGAGTTGGCATCCCAGCCATCTTCCATACGTGTGGTTTTTGCTCTGCTGTGCTTCATTCGCTTCATGTACGAAATATATGTATTCACAAATGAATTCTCGTTATTCGACTTATTTAATTCCGTTATTGGATAACGCGATTTAAGTCGACGATGATAAACGAGAATTGGCGATAACAAACATTCGTACGCTCTAAATGGAGTCAGATCAACGGGCCACATCAAACTACACATCACTGCAGAGCTACGCAAAAGAAACAATGAGGAAATAAGCATAGTAAAATATAAATACAAAAAGCAATATAACTAGCAGTAACAGAATATTTGCTGAAATAGAAATTTTGTAAACTTCGAAAAATGCAGCAACAATTCACTATTGTTCAACACGAGTGAAAGTAAAATTCTACGACTAAGTTATACAAACTCAAAAAAATGTGACAAAGTTGGCCAGAGAGCTTATTACTTGTTAAAAAATGCAAAAGGCCGTTTTTTCTTATGATAAGCCAGAAAACACAATAAGGGAGTACGGTAAAAACGTTTAAGAAAATTACAACTACAGAGGATTTAGCATGATACTTGACACTACAGCTCTTATTTTAATTTTTAATCGTTTTATTTAGTTTTCGCACCACTCTCACTAATTATACTGAAAATACATCTTAAAAATGAGACTTACACCAAGTGACTGAAGTTTTGTAACTTGATCCAACACTAGTGCTTTTAAAGGAGAAATTACGACCGTTAAGCCAGACTGAACAACAGCTGGAAGCTGATAACACAGGCTCTTTCCGCCACCTAAGATTAAAAAATGTGAAACACAATTGTCAAATAAGAATTTCAAGGATAGTAATTATAGAGAATTCAGTGGGGAAAATTTTCCTTTCGATGAAATTATTTACCTAAGCTACATATTCGTATCCATACTTGTTCAATAAATATTTGAGTCTATAAAAGAAGATAGATTACATCATAAAAAGATCCCATATTTCGTTATTCCTGAAGAAAATATGGACCATAATGAAATCTTGGACGAATTCAACAACTGTTATCATATAGTAAACTTTGAATTAGAAGCAGGAGTGAACGTGGAAATTTATTTCCTCAATTTCCTGTTGAGAAAGCTAGATGGTTCTTTATAAGGATTTGTGCATACATAGCCAACGTGGAGTTATCAGTATACAAATTTTCATATTTGAGTCTCTTTGAGCAGAAAGACAAAACCTAACTGAATCCTTATTCTCGAAGATTACGCGGATAAACGACAAATTATTTCAACTCCTACAAATGCTGGTCAGAAATGACTATCCACATAGGCTCATCGATGGAAACTTAAGATCACCGTTAGTTCAAAAAAGCTCTTTTATGAATATGGAACTTAAATGAGGTACACCTGTGGTAACTATAATTAAACAAATTTCAAAATCCCAGAGAAAAACTTTCTATTTAGCTAAGGTTTGAATTGTCTTCGCCAGTCGGTCTGACATTCATGGATGTATAAGTTTGCTTGTTTTTGAGTAACAGATTACACTGACAGCACAAAGAGGACACTTTCCGAACGCATCTCAGAAAAATACTCAGAACAGATAATAACAGCGGAATGCAGGACTACCACTAAAGAAATACAGGACCACCTGATCAATGCTTTGCACAGTACCCAGAGGAATAGTCATTTTAAAAAAATCTACACAGTCAAAAGAATTGAATTGAAAGTAGATCGGATCAAAAACTTATGCACTGCCGAGACATTTATAATTCAGCACTTCAAGCCTGAACTGTAAGTAAAAAGCAATAGGTCCCAACTCCCATCATTCCACAAACCTAAGTCCCTTCGCCAATTTTTCATGACTAGTATTAATTTATTACAATGATCGTTGAGGTTTGCGTTTCATCTTCATATCTCAGTCAGTCAGTCGCAACGAATAACTTGGTACGTATGTGTACATACGTTCAAGTTACCATACCTCATTAGCACACAGATAGAATAGACTGTCAGGACGAATCACAGAATAGGAGAGGTAGTAACAGTATCGGTGGTGATTACGTGTCGAATATACCACTTGAAAAGAAAATATAGATTAGTGCAAGAAAAACAGAAGAAAACAGGTATGATGAATTCAGAGGCTCAGAATTTGAGGCAAGACAAACGATGGATGCACCTGCTCTACTCCAAATGATTTCGAGCCAGTTCGACCAAAGTACATAACCACTGTTTATTATCATTACTAATGGTCTTACCCAATATTATGTAATCAACCCGACCCCAACAAACTAATCTATACCTGTTAAAATGGCTCAGTACAATCCTCAATCACTTCATCCACCAATGACATGTTTTGGTTTGGCAATATAACACATGTCCCAACCACCTCAGCTGATGAAGATTCAATAACCACCTTATCAGTCAATTTATCATCCTTAACTAGTACCCTATCCATAACACAGGCATTGCTTACTCGGTAGTATGTCTATGTTCCAGAACCTGCTTACGGGTGAATATTCGATCCAACCTCGTTTTCTCGGGTTTACTCTTCACGACCTCTAGTTAGACGTTGAAGCACTTTTGAGGCTAATATTTCAGACACTATATTACTTAAACTGATCCCTCTGTGCTTGTCACAAGGGGACTTTTGTACTTTCTTATAAGCTGGGACGATCAGCGATCGAGACCAGTCAAATGGAATTATGTTCACTTCCCAGATTCTAGCTAAAATTTCAGTTAATCCGAATGTTAAAACTGCACCATTATTCTTAAAAATCTCAGGGGTTACTTCACTAGGATCTGCTGGTCTCCATCACTTTAAATCACTTGTAGCTTTTTCAACCCATGATTTGGAAGATTTACATCAACTTGCTTGAAGATGATGGATAACTGAAAGTCAATTGAACTACCTCCTCAAGTGTTTTATTTATTTATTTAACGTACTCAGCTAAGAGAGGCCAGGTTTCACAAGCATAGAGCAAAACTACTCTTACTGACGCGTTGTTGATCCGACCTCTTACAGCCAGACTAACATCACAAAGGCGCCAAACATGGCCCGGATTGGCATAAGCCGCTCTGGCTTTCACCATACGTGCATTGATTCCAACACTCACACCCCCACCAGCACTTATGCAGCTACCTAGATACACGAACTTCTCGACTACTTCTATCTGCTTACCATCCAGGGTGAGTACAGGATTAGACCTGCTTCGGTCTGGGCACACCTGCTCCTCAAGTGTTCTCCCTATCGATCAGATCTTCCGGATTGAGAGTAAATAATACCCTCGTCTTGTTCCAAAATAGTTCCACTAACAGCTGCATTTTTACTACCCATTTCCTTGATAAGTCTGAACAGTTGTCTACTGTCACATATCCCTTCTGTCTTTTCAATCTCGTCTACCGCTAACGATTATAACACAGGTTTTTATCAATCTACGTTTAAGCTGTGTCCGCTCCTCTTCGTGTTTAGGACAAGAAGGGTTAAGTTTGCGAGTATTTATCGACTCAGTAGATTTTGCTGAAACCCAATGACTTTTCTAAGCCATTTTTAGGTTATTGGAAGATGTTGCTGTTGTTTCCACAGCTGTCCGGAAATCATACCAAGCTACCTCGGGGTGGATATCACTTTCATGGTTGAATAGTTCCTTCTCTAGTTGTTTCTGCAATATACTCTTAACATTTTCATCATTAAGTTGAACTCTGAGGGGTTTTCTTGCTTCGGCTTTCATTTGTCCAGTCAGACGCAGACAAATACGTGCTCCAACGAGAGCATGATTTCAATCTATACGTGTGCTCCGGAATGAGAGGCACTCTTCCATTGAGACTCTCCAATGAGAGATGATGTCAATATGGTCTATTTGAATCTACCGTTGAGTTGATTGTGAGTGATGCCCGCTTGAAATAAACGAGTATCTGAGCATAGTTGCAACAGATGGCTGCCATTATCTGTTCGATGAGCTCAGACACTATGAGGTTCACCTAAGTTCCTTTCTCTTTGCTTTAGTCCACCTACTTGAACATGACAATCAATCGACATTATTATTGCATCAGAGTGCTTAGTTTTTTGAAGGTTGGAATGCTTCTTGTAGAATTCACCCTATACTTCATACGAGCTAGTGTCAGTGGGTGCATAGGTAGAGGACAACGAGGTGACGACGTGGGTCCCTATCTTTCCGAGTTCTTACTATTCCGTTTAGTTGGACAGTGTATAAGTGACTATCTATTAGAATCCTGTCTAGGAGAGTCAGTTCTGCTTCTAAACTTAATCCTATTTCCACACCAGGAAGGCTACGGGATGCAGCAATGGGGTCTTCAGATACATGAACAGTAAATCACAGATTTTTTATATTGACAAGTTGAGGTCAAGTGAATGACTGTTTGGATCCTGTATGCAGGTTTCGGAGATGCAACATACATCAATGGCGCCAGGTTCTAGAGTCTTAGCTAAGGACAGCCTATTGTCTTATCTCATACAAGGTTCAAATATTGTTAGCTCCAACATGTAGTCTAGAGCCTGGTTTCAGGGGATCAGGAACAACATTTCATGAACCCGAGTCATTAGCAATGGTGGCGTTTGGTGACTAAGATACACGAGAAAGCCTAGTCGTGGGGATAGGAGAATTATTAAGAGATGAAAGAGGGATCTGAGTGAGAACAAGATCTCGGGTACTGATAGATGTAAGAGGGCGGTTGTCACAACTGCTCACACCGTGAAACGATATTTCTTCTTGAAACCTGAGAAGGAATTTGAGTTAGTGGTGGTGTGTCCGCAAAACTCGACGGACATCTCCTTGGGGCCGGTTACGTACGGTCTTTTTGTGTGAAGCTTTTCATGTGTTAGCTCCGCAATTCAGACCTTACCGCCGAAGACGGGAATCTATGGGTTAATATGAGGTGTGACATTTTTGGGATCGATCTTTCATGACCTCTTCCTTCCGTTGTAAGAAGGCGGCATTGCTTCAGATGTTGGTTTTCCAAGGTGAACAGTTTAATACTGTTAAACACCTCTACAGTCAACTGTACAACTTCGCCCTCGGGCATTAGGTTACTGGTCTTTGGTTGTACCACTCTCCCACCGACCTGCCTGGCATAGTAGGACCTAGAGAAATACGTATTCCAGTCAATATAGCTCGGTTGAGTCGTTACGATAGGCGAGTCTAACTTCCAAATCAAGGTAGCACCCACAAGCATATTTGTTAAGTGGACACATCATTTACATTTTAACCAGAAAAGTAAATTCATCCTCCTCAGTCAGTCAGCTACAACGTAGGACCAGGCACATATATGCATCGGTCCAAGTTGCCATACCTCAATAACATAACAAGATGGACACCGGATTCATAAAAGTAGTTAATTCACAGATGGTAATATATAAAAGAAAGATTGCAATAAGGATATAGTACAGGAAGAAAGAATTAGTTCGTAGAAAGGAAGATATGAAGCGATTTTAATCTCTTAGTTTGAGGGAAGACAGATTGTGTATACACCGATGCCATTGTGATCGATTCTGAGCCATGTCACCAAGAGTCTCCAATCATTGGTTACGATAGTCACGCGGACCCCAACCAAGTAGTCTGCATCTACCAACATGGCTCAGACTAGAAGTTAGTGACTTTAAGGACTGATGCCACGTTTTGATTTGGACGCCCCCAACATTCTTCCAACCATCCCTAACACCGGTTAGCATTGCACGTCGTGGTAATCGGTGTTCAGGCATACGTAACACGTGGCCCAACCATCTCAGTCGATGAAGATTTACAGCTTGATCAACTGATTTACCATCATTCCCTAACACCCTTTGTCTAACCTCACTATTACTTACCCGGTGATCCCAGCAGACGCCAGCAATGTTTCTAAGGCATCTGTGGTCAAATACTAGTAGCTTACGGGTGTCTTCTACTCTTAATGGCCATGTTTCGCTGCCGCAAATTAAAACAGAACGGACTGCCGCGCAGTATACTCGTCCTTTTATTGATAGACGGATATCTTGCCTTTGTCAAAGGTGACGTAAGTTGGCAAAAGCCAAGCGAGTTTTCGAATCCGTGCTGAGATTTTGTCAGACACAAACCCATTTGGGCTGACCAGACTTCCAAGATAAGTGAATTTGTCAACGCGTTCGACAACTTCACTCCCTATCCATAGTTCAGGTGTTGACGCATGCCAGTCCTGAAGCAACAACTTGCACTTAGAGGGAGAGAAGCGCATTCCAAACATTCTGGCATTGTTGCTTAGTGCTACCAAAAGACTCTGCATTTTGTCAGCGTCTTCACCAAACAGGACTATATCATCTGCGTATTCTAAGCCGATAAGTGGACCTCCTGGAAGAAGATCAATACCTGAGAATCCAGTCGATGCGGATGTTATTTCCATCAATAGGTCTATGATCAAGTTAAACAAAAATGGAGAAAGTGGACAGCCTTGACGGACACCACCTGAGGTTACAAAAGCAGATGAAAGTTTGCCATAAGCTCTGACTCGACTGGTAGTGTTCGAGTAAAGAGCCTTCACAAGGTCTATGTACTTCTGAGGCACGCCTTTCAATGACAGACACTGCCACAGAATCTCGCGGTCTACCGAGTCAAATTTTGCTTTCAAGTCAAGAAAGACCACCATTGTCGGACACCGATAAGTATGCCTATGTTCCAGAACTTAACTGCTGTTGCTACCTTGACGTGGTGGTCGGGCTTGCCCATCGTGATGACCCAACCGAGCTATACTAGCTGGAACAACCGTTCCTCAAGGTCCTACCATGTCAGACAGGTCGGTTGAAGAGCGGTAAGACTAAAAGCAACAAACCCAAGGTTCGAAGGCGAAGTCGTACTGCTGACTGTACAGAGGTGTGACAGCAGTCAGGTGTTTCCTTCAGACAACCAGCATAACAGCGATGCTGCCTTCCCACAAGAAGGGGTGGGGTTAGAAAAGGTGGACCCTAAAAATGCACATCTCGCCTTATCCCACGGATATCCGTCTCCGGTGGTACGGAGCTAACACAAAAATTGCCCATAAAAAGGTCGTGTGTGACCGAGCTCAAGCAGTTGTCCCATGGACACTGCGGTCACGCTCCCAGGTCACTAAGACCACCGCTAATCCAATTTCCTTTTCAGGTACCTCCAGAAGAACCCTTCCACGGTGTGGGCAACCGGGAAGTGATAACCGCCCTCATACCTCTAACAGCACTCAAGACCACTGTATTCATAACCAACCTCTGTCTTCACTTCCTATTCATCCTCCTACTCTTTTTCAACCTCTGGATCATTACACAAACTGTTAATATTTGAAATCTCGGGTCAGTTTACATCAAACAAAAATATTTACGATCATACAGCTGAAATGATTTCATCAAGAAAATATTATCCGTTGAATCACCTATATTTTTATTTCATGACAGTTGATTACTTCGAGTAAAATCATAAAACAAGTAAATAGCAGTCGTTGACGATGTCTACAGTGCACTGATGTTTGAAATAAGTTGGCACAATAATCCACATACAATATAGTGACTGTAGACCTAAACCCATGGCTTTAGAGATAATGTCTTCCGCATAACAAGGTTTGGAATTTTAGCAAAATACCATTATTGCTTATATTCTTTTTTATATTAAGCGCTTGTCACTTAACATTTAAGAACACTATTTCTCAATAATCGCATACATAAGGTGTGATGTAATGTTATTGAGGGAACAAACCAAGTTCATGTTTAAAAACGTGACACAATTGATTCAAAAATATGAGCAAAAAGCACACATCACAGCAACGTCTAAACAAAGTCTAATGACAGAAGATAATGATAACTTACCGGTGGGCATGATTACAAAGCAATCACGGTCAAGAAGAGCTGCATTGATTGCTTGGAGTTGATTCCGTCTGAAGGATCGTAGACCAAACATTTTTGAGAATGCTTCCATCATGCGTTTAGAATGAGGAAAACGATCATCTCCATCAAACTCGCCTGTTGAGCCATCATCTGGCTGATTATATTGATCGTCACAATGGGTCTGGACATCTAATCGAAAATGAATGTGGTCAAAAATGCGTGATCACAATGATTAGGACAATAACTCGACTGCTAAGTGACGCAATTTCTCTTACAGCTCTCGTGTATTTTTAACTGTAACAACATAAACTTGTTTACTACAATTTTATGCCTTTATGATTCAAAGAGCGAATTTTAAGAAACTTTGGCACTTACCCCATTTAGATTGAGCTTGAAGTGGAAGGAAAGCACTCCCTTCGCCAGAGTCAAAAGTCATAGTCGAATGCCGTATGGTGCAATTATCATCCGTTTTTTGTGTAGCTGACTTTTTAGTACTTGAACATTTTGTAGGAACATCCGACAAGGCTCGGGTTTTCGATGAGTTAGTGCTAATGTTGGCCCAACTGTCATCATCGGACAAGATATTCCCAAGTGCATATGAGGTAACGCCCATCTAGGCAAGAAATGAAATAGCAGATGAGCGAGATAACTGGCAATGAGACAGGAGGCTTGTTTACACGATACCAACATAATATAACTTCTTAAAACAGTAGCTACAGTTTTAATGAAGCTTAACCAAAATAATCAGATAACCAAACTGTACTGACCAACATCCTTTTAGAGGTATTTGTGTTTCGAATGTGTTGATCAGATGTGAATGTAGGAGAAATCGGATTGGTTAATTTCTTCACCATTCCTGAGGGAGGGTGACCGCTCACAATATTTGGGTTTGAGCTTCTACAAAAAGTATTATTAACTTGAAAATGACCAACCTTTCATGCAGTAATTTTGTTATTACGGATAATTCATCTCCAAAACAATACATTAATTTGTTCATTGGTAAGTTCTCCAATAAGTCACATGCTTTACAGATTGAACTGTAAAATGACTGAGGTATTGAAACAGAGTCATCATGAGATCTTAAATTTGAGTTTTCTGTGCTGAGTGCTTGAAAAATTCGAGACTTATTTTGCAGACATGGTTTAGATACACTTTTCATACAAGTAGAAGATTCCAAGCTAGAAGTTCGAGGAATAACCGAGACCGGTGATGTTTTATCTGTTGGCCTATGGAGTGTTAAGTTTTTGGTGGGTGTAGAACTGGGATTTTCTATTGGTTCAGATTCGTCAAACCAGGAGGGTGAAGGAACTTCTATAGCTTTTATATTTAGTTAACAAACCTACCTAATGACTCTTCGTGAATTGAAACGTCGAGATCAGGGGATGGGGACCTAACCACATCATTGTTGTTCCTGTAACTAAGCATACGAATGACAAAACTCACCTAATTGGAGTCACTGTAGCTGTAGGGAGAAACTTAGCTGAAACTTTTGTTGAATTATCATCCTTGCATGTTGGGGAGCTATCAGAAGTCGTGAAAAGCGGTCTATGCATTGGAATACTGGGTGCCTTTAAAGATTTATTAATCAGAAATTGTAATCCATACTGAGCTCGAAATGCGTGGAGTGGTCGCTTTGGGAGTGCTCTTGAGAGGCTTAAAAGTGAACCTAGAAATATCAGTTCAAAACTGTTTTCATTACTTTCGCTGCCCATCACCCATTCCTAAGAAAACTCAGAATCCCTTTGAAAATTTTATTCGAGACTCGTAAAATACGGTAAAATGGAGGGATACTGGGAACTTCTGAAAAGAATCTAAAGAACCATATGAAATAATAGACACCGTGTGAGCCTATAAATATGAACTTTATTAAGTAGACCAAGGACGCGAGAAACAAAGCATACCTCATTGCTAAAATACAGCATAGGTCGCAGGGTAAAAACATATTAGGAGATATTGCATTAGCTACCGAAATGATCTATCCAAACATATAAAACCTGCAAAATGGAAAAAAAGGACGATGGTCAGAAAAAGTAAATGGGAACCACTTATGATCGAATTACAGCCTGAATATGACTTTCTACGCAAGTGATAAGTACTAAACTAGAACTTTTGGTGAGACTATAGTTTATGGACGACCTATGAGCGACGCCGAACTTTTGAAGAATTAACGCACGTGACAATATGAGCAGACAATTTGTGGGATATAGTTCAATGTTTTCTGGTCAGACTACAGTAAATAACTTGACCTCGATAGCAATATGACCTGTTCTAAGTTGTAAAGCTATGATCAAGATAAATGGAGTGAACGAGAGATACTGATTGTAGACACTTCGTAGAAACATAATTTTCGACATTTAATAATGGAACACACAATGATTATTTATTAAAACTCAAAAGCGTTTGATTACAATTTAAATGAAAGAGATTTTGGAGCAAATGAGACGAATAAGCTGGATTCCATACGACGCGCTGTTATAGAGGCATCAAGAATTCCGCCTAACATTTTAACCAAGATAAATGGAGTGAACGAGAGACACTAAATCTAGACACTTCGTAGAAACATAATTTTCGACATTTAATAATGGAACACACAATGATTATTTATTAAAACTCAAAAGCGTTTGATTACAATTTAAATGAAAGAGATTTGTGGAGCAAATGAGACGAATAAGCTGGATTCCATACGACGCGCTGTTATAGAAGCATCAAGAATTCCGCCTAACATTTTAACCAAGTTACCGATTCAAAAAATGTAGATACCTCGGATGACAATGGAGCCGTATGACCACTAAATTCGAAGATAGTTTTAAGCGATTATCAAGAACGAACGTCGTTGCCTTTAGTCCTCGCTTACGAATGCAAAGACACAAATATTTTGTAAACAATACAAAGGTTTCTTAAGCATGGCATTTCATGGTTGTGTGTCATACATCAATCAGCAGAGCTTATACGGTCAACAGCATTTTGACAGATGACACAAACCTACGAATCGAACAATAATTGGGACCGTGGAAGTATTTACGAGATACAAGTTTTCCGAGGTTGCGAAGCAATCGAGTAATAGTCTTGATTGAATGTGATACTTCAGACGCACGATGAGTTCTGAAACAATATCTGGGAGGTAGAAAACATACGTTTGGTGGACGTACGCTACTTGTTTGGTTGAGTCTTAGGGGAACAAAATGGACTAGTACGTCAAGTCCAATAACATTTTCTCAAACCCAATATGTGTTACACGATCTAGAATGTTTATATATGTATGAGTACGAGCGTTTTAATAAGCCACTTGAAAAACATTTTGTTGAGGCAGGCGGGCTTTTAAATAGATTGTGGTCTCTTTGCTTTGTTAGATGGCAGTTGCGCTGCTGAGGTGAAATTAGACTGAATTATCTGCTAATAGTGGGACTGGCCTCCATCTACGTTTAATACAGAAGTGAGTTCAGATGTAGTCGAGATTTCTTCAGGGGATTATGTCAAAACAGAAGTAATTTCGTCGTCTGTGTATGAGTCTCATAATACTGTAATGGAAAGAATATGCTGAAAACTCTCGAAAGTTGTTATTGAACGGTATTGTTATTTCTTCTTGATCTTCCCCTATCATGTATTTCAACTTCTACCCAGGTTTCTTGTAATCACGCTCCATGTCCTGTCTTCTTTGTTTAGGGTTTTTATTACTTGAATTGTGTGAGAATTAACCTTTGTTGCCTAATTTTGCTATTGCATGTTACCGAACCATTCACAACGAGATTGTGTTTCACTAGGTGCACGGTTGTGGTGTGGCTCGGCTCATAATTGTTGGCATTTGATTTTTTGCTGGGAAAGATAAGCCGAATCTTCGCAAATAGATATTTGGTCTCATTTGTTGAGAATACTCTAGTGAATTCTCAAGTACTGGATGTTTATTTATTAACCATTTTATTTGCTGTTATGCATGTTATTTTGTGCTAAGGGAACATTTAACTGAATAACAGTGGCTGTACGTTTTGGGGTATATTATACTTTTCATATTGTTTGCTTGTTTTCTCAAATAACACTGGTTTAGCTTCAGCACACAATCTGTGCTTTGATATGGTTTATTATGAGTCACTCAAAAATGCTTCATTTGTTATGCAGAAGAACATATTTTCGCCCAATTAAGTAAACATTTGTTCGTAAGCCCTGGGTCCAGATAGTATTCTGGAATTTTGGTCATTACACGGACCAATATGATAAACATAGTCCAATTTATTTAAAATTTGCAACAATTTTGGAACTGAACAAAAAATGGGGTTTGAGAAATTTAGTTGATTATGGACAATATTGTTTTGTTATACATATGTCACCTAATTAATCAGACAGAATATTGGTTGATGCTTCATGTATATTGACGATGAGAGAACGAATGTTTATGTTTCTTATATCTACCTGACTACCAGGCGATTGTTTACGCGCTTTAAATCATGACTATTGAAGATGCCACATGTATTCGGAGTTTAACAACGCTTTAACCAGTAACACCTAATATGAATCGTACCCACCAAGTGAAAACAGAAGACAAAGCGAGGAGGTTCGAAGATATATTTGATATGCTATTAATATATCGAGGATCGTTTGATCTAATCTGGCTAGCGATTGCAGGGGTTGTTGGGCATGGCGTTCACACTCGTGATCTGGTGCGGGTACATGACCGAGTGCCTTCAGCTAGGTGAGTCTATCAGAATTAATGTGGTCAACATCCAATGTCGAAGACTTACATAGCTATTTATTTTGTGGATTTATTTATCGCTACACTATTATTGATGAGTGGAAAGACCATCTGTTTTCTTAGAGACTCAACTGATCGGTCGTGTATGATTCACAAATATGCACGACGATAAGTCTCTGAGTTGTTCATTTGCCCAGATAACTAAAAGAATATGATCGTGTAATGGTTTAAAATCAGTTTACCAAAGACTGTGCATTAATTACTATGAGACCCAGGATTCTCCATGATTGTATTAACGATTTCTGGATGTTTAAATAGTATCTGATTGTGTTACATACTTTTGAGCATAGATCAATGAGTGGTAAAACGGAAGATCAGTGAGCTCAGTAGATTTGAATATAAATGGTTTTCGGATTCAGACACTCTAAAAAGCTCAATGCATCAGTGGATTCAGAAGGAGGAATTATCAGCTAAGCAATTTCGATATATATTGATAATATCGGTGATATACAACTATTCCAATGTTTGTTTCGAATCGTGAAACTCTGGTATGCCTTGATTTCTACCACAATTAATGTGAGTGCCTGCAGACTATAAGCTGTTTGGCAAAACATTTTGTAGTTATGTTAATATTTCTAATAATATTGGCAATGAAGATAAAGAGAATCTACTGTTCTCTTGAAGATAGCCTAGGATTTTGTCTTTAAAAAATGACAAAGCAAGAGGAGTTCGAAGAGCTCTCGGCTAACAAAAGGCAACGGTATTTTGATATTTGATTTGGGACCAATTGCCCATGTATATGTTAACTCGTATGAGCTTATATGAACAAGAGTATTTTGTAAAATGGTACAGCTTCAGAATTACTACTCTTAACCCTCAAGCGCATTTGCTACTGAATGGTTTATATCGTTGTTTGGTTGAATCCGATTCATTTCGTTCCTCAGAGTAATGCTGTTGATTTATTCATCCAGTTCATGTCGTCACATGATATTTTAACATCCGATGTCATCCATACAAACTTTGGCGTTTGGACCTCCTATCAGGATGTTCAGGTCCATCCATTATTACTTCTCTACGAACGACTGCAGCTTCTTGTAAAACTGATCTTTGTTATCCTCATTGTTATGACTGTTGGGTGCACAGCATGGGATAACAATCAATAGGATCCCCTTTTACTTTCCTTCGCAGGATGGTTTATTCTGGATGCAAGAGATGCTCATCCTATATGTGGAATAACAATAGTTATTAATGTTATTCACAAACGACTTATGAGCATCTAAATGTTGTTAAGAAACCATCTTGGGTCTCTTCAAAAATCCAATAATACATATGTTTCAGCAATGTGAGCATAATATTTGCCATATTCTAAACACACAAGTTCTCTGTAGTTGAAGAATATTTGAAGAGTATTGAGTTGACTTTAAAGAAGGAAAGGAAGAAACGGGTGAAACGCAGAATATGTAAATAGTTTATGAGGCGTGTTTGTGAACTCAGAACAAGTGTAACAACCGAGACGCCAATATTCGCTTTGAACGTAGAACTAATGAACCAAAATTTGTTCAATTAGAACAGACTACGTTTCTCTGTATAGCGTACAAAAGTATCTTGAGTTACTCGTATTATATTATATCAAAACACAAATTTGTGCTGAATTTAGACGGTTTTAATTTAAGAAAGAAAAAATATTTTATCGAAAATCCAAAGTATCTCAAATGGTACAGTCTGTATTATATAGTCAAGGGTTTCTCTAACCTAAACTGGAGTGCTAAACAACAAAAGGAATAAGCAATACACAAAAGGTCAATACTCGAGAATTAATAAAAATATTTTCAACAAGATGGGATCAAATATCTATCTTCAGGGATTCCAGCGATCGTTCTAAGCAGACAGTCAAAGGTAAGCAGTTATACAGTGAACCACGCCGTATGGTATGAAGGTGATATACTTCAGTGAAAGAAGACTATCAACGGATAACACAGATGAATAAGTGGGATTGCAAGACATGATACTTTCTCGGCACGATATGATGCATACATTTGCTGTTACTTCAAAGCTTCGAAACCACAGATTAATGAACCAAAGGAGATAGGAGAATCGAACATGTGTTGCTTGAGAGTGAGCGGCGTGGCCTACCTGACTGGTCGAATACACCGCCCCCCATATGTTCTACTACCCGGGAAGATAAGATAGCATAGGGGATACTAAAGTTACCGCACCTGGGTTCCAACCAAATACTACTAACTGGATAACTGCAACCCTGCATTACTAATACTCAACTAGCAGGATACAGTCCTATGAAGTTGTTGTGAAAAAGCCTTTCCTAAACCAGTAGAAGTTCAGGACTGGCGGAACACGTGGGTAGCGCCACGATAAAAAACAGACGGAAAAACCTCATGCTTGATTTACTTACCGATAAATGATCGGTTTCTAGTTAAGGATGTATACGTCCATGAACTAATAGTAAGTATTGACCATGACACAGACGCGTTGGACGTGACCACAAACTGGATACGTGAAATCGATGGAGTCGATTCCTGCCTTAACTATACTAAGGCTGATACACAGCCATGAGAGAGCATATACAACATGCCCCATGGTTGTAGAATTATGGTCTACTATGATAGTACTGCGCTAATAATAGACCTAATCTTAAAATTGTAGACGTGTCATGATATAACTGCCTAATCTATAAGATCTTACGTAGAAGTCATTACATCGTCTACACCAACTCATCGTATCGTACCAATCACCAATACATGATGTAGAACAAGCTTAGGCTAGAGACAGAACAATATATTTAATATGAAAAAGAGATATTAGGTAAAATTTAATAGGGACCACGCCTGCATGGCCGAGCCATGCCATTCGATCAACTCCAATTCATTCAATACTGAATATCTATTTTCCGAGTTGTCTCGTGTTCAGCTTTGAGGATTGTGTGGTTATGGTCCAATGCCACTAAATGATCATGAGCGGTGGCGGCTATCAGTGAATGACAACTAGGAGAAAGTAAGAGACATCACTGATAATACCA